ATTGTAATCGCTACCTTAATGGACACGGACAGGCCCTGTATGGATAATTAAATAAAAGAGAGTGACTGTAATTCTTACTTTCAGTATTACTATGCTGACCAGTTTTATACATTATAGCTGTTTGAAAGGTCCATTTGTAAAAAAAAGTTTACAAACTACACTGTCAGTGACCTTTTCTTTTTCATTAGAGCTTCCTGTTTATGGAGGGGTGTTTGGTCTGTTGCTGTGCTGTGTTCTTGCAGCTCTTGTGGTTTTGTACAGAAGACCATCCAACACACACATCACATGTAAGTCCAAAGACAAGATTATATTTAATAATACACTTTTAATTTACACTCTCTATCAGCTCTATTAGAAACACTGGCCTTGCATTTATAATGCATGTTTACCCCTTAAATGGCCAGGGCCCACCAGCAGGCCCAACGTTTTATTACACACTTCTATAACCTAAGAATAGCTCAACAAGTTTGCATTGAAGTCCCTGTAGTTACTGAATAATAAGCCTTAGTATGTAATGAGACTTGGATTTTAAGGGGGTAAAGACATGTTTAAGTGTTGTCCAAAGTGATAAGACAGAAGACTCTGCAGCACATCCATGTGGCAGAATAAATAAACAGTTAAAACATTTGGGGAAGAAGCAGAGGCAGCCAATACAAAGAGATGCACGTAAACCCTCCTATGTTAACTGATGTAGCATTTTACACTAGCAAGCAGTGCAACATGACAAAGTTTACAGCTTTTTACTGCATGCCACCTTAAACCATGTACAGTGGGGCATAATGGCTGATAGATGGGGCACTAAATGACCCACTAAATGAACCCCTGATGCTGGGTCTGCATAGCTTTATTCTATATTTTAATGGAAGCTAGTGAAAGAAGGTGAGAACAGATCAGAAGCTATAACTTTTTGTAGTGGTATTTTTCGCCAGTTGCAAGTGTGATAGACTGACTGAATGATTCCATGTAACAGGGGTTATTAAAGTGAAAGGAAGACAAATAAATGACAAATTACTGTTTCCAGATCTTTGGATGACAAGATGCATTTTAGCCTGTTAATAATTGTCAGCTGAAAAAAATTGCTTCTCATAGCTTTTATGAGTTTATTTGCTTGTCAAATTTTTGGACAGAATCAAATGTGATGCCAATTTTTTTTGCATAGCTGTGTATATTAGACAATGGTGCCCCCAAATTGGCAGATGTTCCTCTGATAGAGTCAGGATAACCAAATATAATAACATCTTGTTTTATTTAAATGTGCAGAAATGTACATCCAACTTTCAATATCCAGGGAGTGGTGTAACAATGGCAGGAAATATTATACTTTGGAAAAAACAGGCCATGGGGGAGCATCAATAGTGAAAACAGAATAGGGCCCAAGAAAGATCCTTGATGTACTGCACAAGTGAAAGCTTGAAAGGAAGAGAAAAGTTTCCAAAAAATATGTCTTGTACACAGAAAGAGTGATAAAAAGTTTAGATTTTCTCAACTTTATGCAAATGAGAAGTGAGTTTCACCAGGCAGCAGCCAATCAGATTAATTCAAATTACTAAAAAAATGGAGCCCCAGATTAGCCTGAGATTTCTACATTTACATTAGTTCATAATTTTAAAAAGAATATTAGACCTTCTCTCACCTGTGTTTGATCAGAGCACATCAGAGAACTGGTCTAGAACTCTTGGACAGCTAAACTTGCTTGTACTTTGGTGACGCACACGAAGTGAACAACAGTTGGTTAGGTAAGCATTTTGGTTCACTGTAATGTAAATACAACATTAAGACAATCAAAAAGAATGGGGTCCACCTGCCTTATACGGGTACTGTTGTTCAGTTACAGACTGTAGCTCATTTGTCATACACAACATTTTCCCTGTATATCATTGGTCAGTTTCTAACCACAGGACAGCTGTTGACCACATATTATTTGGGTAATGCATCATTCTCAACACTGCAATGACTTGGTATAAGTATAGCAGTTTGTTTGGTGCTGGTATGAATGTATCAGGCATAGCAGTGTTTCTGGGAATTTATTTTGTATGACATTTCTTGAGAGTCGTCCTAAAGCCAAAAATATCCAGACAAGCATGGCTCTGTGGTCAGAAGGGTAAACCAGCAAGGTGGACTTGAAAAATAAATAAAGTGGTGATGTGTAAGCCAAAATGTGGTGTATTTCTTAAGACATTTGGGGCATGATGTTTATATTATTCTCCTTATTCAGCTTTGAAAGCACCTGCCCAGGAAAATGAAACTTCAGATTCACCACTTGCTCAGGTATGTGACACTGAGTTTTGTTTTCAGAATTACTGCTCTAGTAAAACAGAAATTACACCTCAAGCATAAGCATTCTGGGGTCCCACACCTTGTTCTTATGTAGGATTTAATTAACACTGAAGTTGAATCACACCAAAAATTTCCCTAAATGTGAATTTGAAAAGTGGAAGCCACAGTTTTATGGGAACTTCTTGGGATGTATTATGCAGCAACAGGATGCAAGTGAATCAGTCTGCACTCCAGCTTTCTAGCCTGAATTGAGTGCTGTTATTATTGCTGTGTTGCCATATTTCTTCAGACAGCAAGTCTGAAAGATGCGTCCTATAAAACTATTTTTTTCTTAAAAGTGTTTCTCTCTCTCTCTCAAGGAGGAGGTTTGCCATGTTTATTATGAGATGTTGGCTGTGTACAGTTTAGCTGGCCCAGCTAATGAGGAGAACTCATCAGGAACCTACAGCATCATTCACTATACATGCTCAACAGAGGAGGAATGCTCTACATATTCTCTCATAGCTCCTCACTGAAGTGACAAAGAGCCTGTCTCATTCAACACATTAACTGATTAACAAGCCACTCATGCTGGGTAAAGTTAGAAGAGGAAAAACATTAAAAATATGGGGTCTCCAGGACTTAGATATTAGGCATAAAGCTAAATAGAGAGTAGATTTTTATACTCATAGCTGATATTTGCCCAGCCTTCAAAACACTTTAATTCTTAGAAACTGGCCTCTATGGCAACATGTACACAAATCTTTAGTTTCTGAAGCTGCTGTTAAAATTTTGGCTTGTGTCCCTCTACCTAGCACTTCAGTATGCAAGTAAGACCCTGGCCTCTTATTAAGCTCCCTGAGGACTGGGTTAGAAACTAATATATATGTGATGGACAAAACAATCAAAAACGTAAAGTGCTTGCACTTGAAAAAATCTGATTGAACAAAACATTTATGGTTATATCATTTATATGTATAGTTCACTGGAGGCCTTTGCAGTTCACTGGGGCATTTGCAAATTCTCTTTTATATACCAGCTACGTTTAATAAGGCAGCACCTTTCATTGTTGTCCTCTCCAGATTTTTCAGTTGCACTACGGACCACCACCACAGAGACATTCATACCTGTATTAGAATGTAATGTGTTGAGAGGGGCTCGACAGCATGACCTTCCACACTGCCACAGTGCGTTCACCATGACTGAAAGCGCACAGTGTTTTCAATACAGGAGAGATGGAACAGAAACAAAGTTGTCTGTTAGAGAAAAGGAAGCCGCATTGTGCATTATTTGGTTCAATCTCAGTGTGTTACTCTGTCTGATGTGGGTTTGTTTAGGCAGAAGGCAAGGTAAGAAAAAGGGGCTCCAGTGCACATGATGCACTCCTGCTTTCACACATAGCAGCTACAGATGTTTTTCATGTTTACAGTATATGATGTGAACTTTGAAAACAGGGTACAGATAAAGAAAGACACTAAAATAAATGTATTATACAGAGAACAGTGATTTGCTAAAACTTGCTTAGTTGGTATTGTATTGTAATTTGTTATGTATTAATATTTTATTAAAGTAGTTGTTTATATCTTTATCAAGCTTCGGTGTTTACTGAAAAAAACTTTATTATTTTAAATAGAGAAACTCCTGAAAATAAAGAAATGTTAAAAAATAAACATTTCCACATTTATTTTGTATATATCTAAAGAATAAAACAGAACTACTCTTCTCATTGGGCCACACTGGCAGCTGAATGATAGGGTGGCCTAGCTTTCTTTTGATTCCATATCATATTTCTGTGATTTTTTTTTATAAAGAATATTTTGGACAGGTACTTATACATATAATGAGAGATTTGTGGGCTTCTTGCTAAAAAAGACTGCAATTTGCATTTTTGTGCCACCAAGTCCCACCTCTGCGTTTTATGAATGTAGTAAATTTGTTTCAAACAAAGATGGCAGCAGAGCACTTTGTAAGACACGTTTTAGAGTTTATGTATTCAAATTTTCAAGACATCACAATATTACATGTTCTATCAGAGTTTGGAGGTGTTGTTCTATCAGAGTGTGGAGGTGTTGTTCTATCAGAGTGTGGCGGTGTTGTTCTATCAGAGTGTGGCGGTGTTGTTCTATCAGAGTGTGGAGGTGTTGTTCTATCAGAGTGTGGCGGTGTTGTTCTATCAGAGTGTGGAGGTGTTGTTCTATCAGAGTGTGGCGGTGTTGTTCTATCGGAGTGTGGAGGTGTTGTTCTATCGGAGTGTGGATGTGTTGCTCTATCAGAGTGTGGAAGTGTTGTTCTATCAGAGTGTGGAAGTTTTGTTCTATCAGAGTGTGAATGTGTTGTTTTATCAGAGTGTGGAGGTGTTGTTTTATCAGAGTGTGGAGGTGTTGTTTTATCAGAGTGTGGAGGTGTTGTTTTATCACAGTGTGAAGATGTTGTTCTATCAGAGGGTGAATGTATCATTCTAGCTGAGTGTAGTGATGCTGATCTTCGGCAGTGTTTCCTTCCTTTAGGGTTTACATCGCTGCTTCTTCCTCCTGCTTATTGTAAGCAACCAGAAGTGATCAGCAGCTCACTGCTCAGACTCACGAGTGCAGAAACAGATTGAAAATGTTGTGTTGAGTTCTGACCTTGTCTCACTTTAAAGCAGTTCTGAAAGGAGGTTAGTGATGTGGGCAGTAGAATGAAAACACTTCAGAGGACTGTGTTATTTTTCCAAGGTAAGTCAATTCTATTTGTTTTTCTGATTTGTTTTGTCAATATCACTCTGTTTTGTTGGGTTAAATGCTAGATAAAATTATTTTTACCTATCAAAGAGTTAAAATTCGATGATTGTTGACTCTATACTATGTTTGTTGTGGGAAGCTCTATGGGCATGTCCTGGGCTTTTTGAACATAGTTCTCGTTTTACTTGTTAATAAAATATTGATCACAAAAAAAGAGTTAAAGTTAATTGTTATTTGAGAGTATTCAGTGGATCAACCTTTAGTGAAAACAGGTGAAAGTTCTTTTCATCCAAATTAAGGTCTATGTAATTTGAAGCTTAATTATACTGTGCCAAGTCCAAGACACTCACCTTTTACTGTTTTAACTCTCCATGTTTTTGATACAGTTTTTGTTGTTGCTATTTATTCAGTTATGTATAATAATCAGTGATCTGTCATTTTTCTAGTTCTGATCTGTGTGGAAATGAAGAACCAATCTGGAAATGTTTTTACTGGAACAGAGGGAGGCCGTGTGGAAATCTACTGTAATTATCCAGATGGATACCAATATGTATCCCAATACTTTTGCCGTCATCCATGTAGTCATTCTGATGTTTTAATTAAAACTGAGAAGGCTGATAAAGTCACCTCTGAAGGCAGATACTCTATACTGAACACTGTGTCTGCACAGAGCCTTTCTGTTACTATCAGAAACCTCAGATTAGGAGACTCTGGGGTTTATTACTGTGGAGTGGATAAATGGGGAAAAGACAGACTCAGTAAAGTAGTGGTCACTGTCAGGAAAGGTAAGCATGAATACAACTTTCTATTCCTAAATATCTGAAGTGAAATGTCTGAATGTGTTGTTGATCTCAGTCACAAATGTTTTTGTCATCTATACTTGAACATCTCCTAAACTTTGATTGAATTCAGTGTTGAATTCTGGGGGAACGTTTATAGTAAAAGTAAATAATACAGTCTCAAACACTTTGTTTTATGACCTAAAAACACAAAATGCAACAGTCAAACAAACATGCATAAGTGCTGTGAATAATAATTATAATAACTACTGTGCTGCTGGTAAGTTACAGTAAATTTACAGAGTAAGCCATAAATACATGTTTAAAGCTCAATTTACAATAAAAATCACATGTATAAGCATGGAATAATATTAATAAAGCAACACTTAAATATTTATTAACCATTTATTACATTGCAAGATAACATAAGCTGTACTACAAAATAAATGACATAATGACAAAGGCTTTTTTCTTTTTTTTTGACAAAGGCTCTTAAATTAAAGTGATGTTGTTCCATTTCTAACACTGTTGTGAAGGATCATTTTCAATTAATGTGACTTATCTGACAGAGGCCCAGTTAGAAAGATTTAAAATGATATACTTTCCCATATGTACGAATATACACATTCCCGTACCATGTAACATCTTAACATTCCCGTTAAGTAAAAAGGGAAACATTATTAGTAAAAGATAAGTTAAGTCAGAGTTCCCTCTGTTTTTCTAGTTAAGTAATAAATAAAATTTCTTGCTTTTAAATGTACATGGATACATTTGAAGTATGCAAACATTAAAGAGTTATTAAAGTTATTGTTTTATTTTGATGAATAATTTCTATTAGGGAGACATGTGGCTGCACACATGGTATCTTTACTAGAAATTCCACTTTTGTACTTTAACTCAGGTAAAACTACTCAGAACTGATATGATTTTCCTAACTAGGCCTCTGCCTTATAAGTTTAATTACGCTGGACTGCTGCTTAATAACAGTGTTCTAAATGGAACACGTCTGTTACATTAAGGGCCTTTATGTCAATACAATGTCATCTCACCTTGCGGTTAATGGCAGAAACTATTCATAACTACTCAAGTTCTGTTGAATTATACTCAAACTTCATAAGCACTCCTGGTTTCATCTTGTTTTTCTACAGTTTCTCCTAATTCTACTACTCCAGCATCCACTCATGAAACTGCTAAATCTACAGAGCAGGCCAGCAGCAACACAGTCACACAGATTTCTACAGGTAACAGACAATGGGTGCTTATTCTTAAGAAAACACTTCACTAAGATTGTCAAACAGCAATTTAAAATGTCCTGTTTTTGTAGTCACTTGTAAATTGTGATATAGGTTAAGAAAATCATTAATCAGTGTAAAGATTTTTAATCTAGTAATCCAGTATTTACTGGATTGTGAAGAGAGAATAAAGCGTATGCAACACAGATATTATGGTTATTTGTTTTTCCAGATAATTCCACCACATATGAACAAGCATCATCCACAACATGGTCCACACATTCTTCAGCCCTGCTCAGTAAATAGCTGACACAATCACTTATTTTTTCATTTCATATTATAGCTCTATTCTATCCTTTGTACTTAAATTGTTGCTGTTCAATTGCTTGCTTACTAGTCAAAGTAAGGATCTAAATAGACAATTACAGCCTCCTCACAAAGTATTGAAACCACAAGGCCATTTCTGTGTTACTGCTATAAACTATAAAAGACATTTGGGTGTCAGATCAAAAGATTAATATAAAATGACAGATCAGAATTTCAGCTGATATTTACATCAAGATGTGTCAAACAACTTAGAACATGCTACCTTTGGACCACCCAATTTTTATGTGAGCAAAAGTATAGGAGAAAGAAAGTAAATTAAAGTAAATATCACTTTATATTTGATTGCATATCCCTTGCTTGCAATAGCTGCATTAAGCCAGCACCCAACTGACATCACCAAACTGTTGCGTTCTCCTTTTGTGATGCTTTTCCAGGCTTTTATTACAGCTTCTTTCAGTTGTTGTTAGTTTTGGGGAGTTTCTCCCTTCAGTTTCCTCCTCAGGAGGAATGCATGCATGCTCAGTAGGATTAAGGTCTGGAGAGTGACTTGGCCAGTCCCTCTGCTGAACCCTTTGCTGTATTGGCAGTGTCTCGGGTCATTGTCTTGCTGCATGATGAAGTTCCTCCTGGCTGACAGAATGTTTCTGTAGACTTCTAAATGCATCGCTATCATAATGAGCTGTATCATCAATAAAGATTAGTAAGCCTGTTTTATAAGCAGCCATGTAAGCCCATGCCATGACACCATGCTTGACCGATAAGCTTGTGTGTTTTGGGTCATGAGCAGATCCTTTCTCCACACTTTGTCCTTTCCATCACTATGGTAGAGGTAAATCTTGGTCTCATCAGTCCATAAAACTCTGTTCCAGACCTTTTGTGGCTCATCTCTGGCCCTCTGATTCTTACTGCTGATGAGTGGTTTGCATCTTGTGGTGCGGCCTCTACATTTCTGCTCTCAAAGTCTTCTTCAAATGATGGTTTGTGATGCCATCAGTCCTGCCCTGCCTGGCTGACCTGTTCGATGTCTGGATGTTAGTATAACGGTGGTTTCTTTCTTTTTCAGGACATTCCAAATTGTTGTATTGGCTATGCGCAGTGCTTGTGCAATGGCTCTGATTGATTTTCCCTCTTTTCTCAGCTTCAATATGTCTTGACTTTTTTTGTTGTTTTGATTCTTTGGTTTGGTTTCTTTCATTGGTTTCTTTCACACTATGTGGCTATTACTATTTTTCAGTTAATTCCACCACATATGGATCATCAACAAAACAGTCCTCACAATCTTCAGTAATGTTTGGTAAATAGTTGATGTTGTTCATTCATCATTTCATTTTATGTTATACAATATTATAGCTCCATTCTGTTCTTTGTACTGTGTTCTTGCTTAATGGTCAATTAAAGACCCTGAATAGATGATAAATTAAAAATAGGTAAATTAAAATGTTAATATCAGTGTTATTGTGCTGATCATTTTCACAAATCATTATTGCTCTTGTGAATGGCAAACTACAATTTCAGTTTCTTTCTACTTTTTCATTAGAGTTTCCTATTTATGGAGGGGTGCTTGGTCTGTTGCTGTGCTGTGTTCTTGTGGCTCTTGTGGTTCTCTACAGGAGACGATCCAATACACACTCCACAAGTAAGCCTAAAGATAAAGCATGTTTAGAAATATATATTCAGTTTAAATTCTATATCAGCTTTATTAGAAACACAAACCTTGTACTTCCATTCCTTACTGCATTACTACATCATGAGGTCCATTTTCCTGTAGCCCATCTGTTGCTTGCATAATTCATCAGGATTGCTTTTGACCAGATAGTATTTGGGTTGTAGACGACTCTCAACAGAGCAGTGACGATGTTGGCAATTACAGCTTTAAAACATCTATGGTAATATATAAATAGCTTTTTCCAACTATTCAATTTTGGTCCATTCCTCTGGGCAAACTTCATTGTCTTCAATGTTATGTGGGCCCCTAGATTTTGATTTATTTTTACAGATATATTTTCTTTAATATAATATCTGAATGTCAAAATGTTGTTTTTTAACCTCTTGACCCATGCTTATGAAATCTTATCTTTTTTGTTCATATTTGTTAGTGCAAATTCAAAAGATATAAAATCTTACAACATTCTTACAACTATCTCAAAATAAGAAAATGAAGGCCTAGATTAATCATGATGAACCCTGGTCTTGGGAGATCTACCTTCCTGCCCAGTATAGTTCCAACCACACTCTGTCACACCAGCTCCATTTTATTAAGTTATTCAGAAATAACCGATTAGCTGGATCAGATGCATTAGAGTTAGGTAAGGGGAGGGAGCATGCTAGATATATGTTAGAACTAAACTCTACAGGAAAGTAGATCTCCAGGTGGAGCATTGTTCATATTTTAGCAATGCTGCTGGTGTCTGTGAATTTTACACATATCTGTTTTGTGATTTGTTATTTAGCTTTGAAACCACCTGCCCCTGAAAATCAATTCTCAGATCCACCGCTTAATCAGGTATGTCATACTGAATTCTGTTTTCAGAACTACTGCTCAGTAAAAAAAAAGACTATCTCACTGTTGTGATCCTTTAGCTTGTTTATAGGAATTCTGTTACTGTGATTTTGGATCTGCAGAGGGTTGTAAAGAGCCAAAAAGAAATTCCTTTATATCAAACCAAAGACTTGCATTTAAAGTGCTAATCACCATATATAACAACAGCAACAATAATATTGATAATATTTATATTGCAATTTCATGTTTGTTACAAAATCTCTGAATGCATTACATGGGAATATACAGCAATCAGGCATAACATTATGACCACCTCCACCTCCTTGTTTCTATGCTCATTGTCCATTTTATCAGCTCCACTTACTATATAGGTGCATGTAGTTCTACAATTACAGACTGTAGTCCATCTGTTTCTCTGCATACTTTGTTAGCTCCCTTTTACCCTGTTCTTCAGTGGTCAGGACCCCCATGGACCCTCACAGAGCAGGTACTATTTGGGTGGTGGATCATTTTCAGCATTGCAGTAACACTGACGTGGTGGTTGTATTTAGTGTGTGTTGCGCTTGTGTGAGTGGATCAGACACAGCAGTGCTGCTGGAGTTTTTAAACACCTCAGTGTCACTGCTGGACTGAGAATAGTCCACCAACCAAAAATATCCAGCAAACAGCGTCCTGTGGGCAACGTCCTGTGACCACTGATGAAGGACTAGAGGATGACCAACACAAACTGTGCAGCAGCAGATGAGCTATCCTCTCTGACTTTACATCTGCAAGGTGGACTGACCAGGTAGGAGTGTCTAATAGAGTGGACAGTGAGTGGACACAGTGTTTAAAAACTCCAGCAGCACTGCTGTGTCTGATCCACTCGCACCAGCACAACATACACTAACACAACACCACCACGTCAGTGTTACTGCAGTGTTAAAAATGATCCACCACCCAAATAGTACCTGCTCTGTGAGGGTCCATGGGGGTCCTAACCACTGAAGAACAGGATAAAAGGGGGCTAACAAAGTATGCAGACAAACATATGGACTACAGTCTGTAACTGTAGAACTACAAAGTGCACCTATATAGTAAATAGAGCTGATAAAATGGACAATGAGTGTAGAAACAAGGTCATAATGTTATGCCTGATCGGTGTAAGTAATCAATTCACAAGATAAAAAAAAACTACTGTCTAGATGAAAATCATGAGATAATTATGCCACACACTCAAAATCAGACTCACTGAAAAAAAAACATTTTTTACCTGAAAATAAATAAATTATGAAAATGGTTATGGTTAAATGTCGTTAATTTTTAGATCCGTTATAATTTACTAAAATTGGCTTATCTCCAACTCAACTCATTAAAGTTCATTAATATCAAACTCAAACTTGGTTTATCTGTGATTTAACTCATGTTGGCTTATCTTACTAGAGTCAGTTTAAGAGTGGCTACTGTGTGTGTGTGCTTCTTACAGCCAACAATAACAAGAACAGCTGATTAACCAAAATATAGAGTGTAAGCATATACCCAAGAGAAGAGAGGAAAGCCTATGAAAGACTAAACCAAAGGGAAAGACACACCCTATGATATGCAAATACATGGAACCTGGAGCCAATAATATCTTGTCTCCAAACCTGTGCCAATTTCTTCAGCTGCTAATGGCAACAGAGTAAACTAAATTTTAATATGTTGATTTAACTCAAAGATCTCATTTGAATGCATGAAATTATAAAACATTTTCCCCTAACTTAAAAATATTGAGTAATGTGGGATCTATGCTATTTTAGTACAACAAACTGGGGATGTGTCTCAGTTGCAGGTGGGAATCTTTATTTGACTTGATTGAGTTTGGCTGATATAACACTTGGGACATTTACAAACATTATTAATATGTTTATTAAAAGTTAATATAAACTAGATTTGTTGCTTTGTTCTTAACATATAGGAGCCAGTTCTATGTTTTTTGAGTGCAGGCAAAAATCAGCCATAATACTTCTATGCTAGCCTAAAAGAAATGATCCACCACCAACTGAACTGTGGGTGTTTGCAGTAAGAGCTCCTTACCTGAGCAAAGTGTTCTGTACGGGCTATAGCACTTCAGCAGATCAGAAAGACAATGCCTGAAGCTAGGCCAGGCTATTAAGAGCTTTCAATGTCATAAGCAAGACTTTGTATGCAATACAAGATTTAACATACAGTCAAGACTAACTGAATAAGACTGGAGTAAAATGCTCAAATTTTCTTTTCCTGGTGAACATATGAGCTGCTCCATTCTGAACTAGGTGGAACTGATTTAGAGAGATAATGGAGCAACCAGTCAGCTACACATTATAGTAGTGTAATGTAGTAGCTATGAAAGCATGAACAAATTTCTCAGCATCTTGTTGGGTTAGCATGTGTCTGATTTTGGATGTAGTTCTCAAGTTATACAGTGCGGTCTTAGAGATATGACTGATGTGGGACTCAGTGATAAACCAGCATCCAGTGTTACACCAAAATCTTTAACTGTGATTGCCCTGAGAAACCATCAAGGCCAAGAATAAAAACTGCAAGCTAATGTCGAGCAGCCTTATGACCCAACAGCAATACTTCTGTTTTATCAATAAAAATACAACCGGATGCAGAACTGAAAGCAGACCCCACAGATATCTGAGACTCAGACTAATTTTTTTTTCAGTGTACTGTGGAGTAACTTCACTTCTGTATATAAAACACTTTATTAGTTTACATGCTGCTTTACCGCTGCTACAGCCTGTCTTCAGACAGCAAGTAGTTCCTTAATGTTTAAATGGTTGCACTGAGGCCCTCGTAGACCTTCAGTAAAGCTATTTTAAAAGTACATGTAACACATGCTTCAATGCATCAAATGTCAGTCAAATAAGACAGTAGCCGCATTTCAAAAGCTAACGTGCAACTGAGAAAGGTGGGTCCTCAGCAGCTTGGGCCTATGAAGGTTCCTTGTTTGTATTATATGCAAAGTGGAATGGTCCACTGAGGCCAGTTTGTCACATCATCTGAAATGAGTTGGTGCACAGATTTTAATGGAGAGAATACTGTTGATGTGAATCATAAGCTGGCAAGAAAAAGGTTGATGTGAATGATGTAACATGTGGCAGGCAAAACAGTTTGTAATTAAATGCTGTCCTGCAAGCTAAAACTGTTAAACTCACTGAAAGCAAGTGCATTTCACACCCTGCCTTCTTAAACAGATACACAAATAAAGAGGTAGTGTTCTGTATATGTTACTGTATCGTTGCCATCCAAAGAAAAACATTCACCTGGAAAACCTTAGAGGAGAAGGTAAATATATTCTTAACTTTTAATGTAAGTTAAGGTATAAAGGTTTTATTCCAATTGGTTTTGGAACATTTCTTTTGGTCCATTCATCATGAAATTTTCACAGAATGTAAAGAGCAGCTGCTGTGTTCAAATGAAGTAGATAAATACAAAAATATACAAAAATAGAGATACATGTTTTAAGGAGGGGTGTTGAATAGCGACAATATATTTTACTGGTCTTTTTAAATAACATTTAGAAGTTGGTTTCATCTGTCAGCATTTCTCAGACACGTGCACAAAGAATTATGGGTGACAGACAGTTCTCGGAAAATAGCTAATGTCTAATTTTGGTATTGTTACAACATCTTGTTTCACTTTCGGTTACATTCTCTCTCTCTCTTTCTCTCTCTCTCTCTCTCTCTCTAAAGGAGGAGGTTTACCACATTTATGATGAGATGTTGGCTGTGTACAGTTTAGCTGGTCCAGCTGATAAAGAGAACTCTTCAGAAACCTACAGTGTCATCCAGCATGTTCCCCCAACGGAGGAAGACTCCTGTCTATACTCCCTCATAGCTCCTCACTAAGATACAGCACCCCTTAAACTCCAGGCACAGAAATAAATGAAAGTTAAGCCAAAAGGAAACAACGGTAACTCTTTCTATGATTATTATGTCTATAGGGCACTGTGAACACATTCAGAAGGTATGATAAATGTGACAATAATATTTCCAGAAATGTTTTATTCATTTTATTTAATATTTATTTTTATTTCTGCATTAAACTTTATAGCTATGTTTATTATGCATTATGAATTGTTAACTTATTGTATTATATTATAAATGATGTTCATAATATTTATACCATCAAAAGAAACTCAGTCTCAGCTTGCATAGTGCATTATGACCTGCCTAATCATAAACACATGCTGAGCCATGCCATGATTATGGCCTACATAAACTTTTTTTTAGCCTATTATCTGTGTCACTTATTATAGCTCACATATAGGTTATGACAATTTGGTTTCAGTGTCATATGTTTATCAATAATATACCCATAATTGCTGTCACTTTACTTAAAAAGCTTGCAAAGACATGTTGCAGTATATAAAAATTAGTATAGGCTAAAATTTCATTCCAGATCAGAAATTATTAAAAGAAATCAGCGTATGTTTGTGACTAGGAAGGTTAAAATACAAACTGGGACTGAGTTTGTTTGTCACTGACAGCACATTCTATCATGAAGACTATGTATAATGCATTATGTTAACAATTCATAATGCATTATAAACATGGCTATAAGGTGTAATGTATTTTCATAAATATTTATAGCCATGTTTATAATACTTTATGAATGCATTGTGACGTCATGTACATGTTCATAGATTCTTATATGGATCATTCTACTGAATTGGCTCAAAGTCAGTTCAGAGTTCAAAACACATTTTGGATTTTTACTGACTTGGACTTTAGACTAAAATCATTGTTGCCTTGTATGACCATATGCCTTAATTACGTTGATTTTATTTAAACAAATCACTGAAAATTCCGTTTTGTCACTAACAAAACAATATGATTCTTTGGTAGTGACTGTTGCCGAAGATACAATTTTAACTCAAAAATGCTTGCCAGTACAATACTTGCACACAGCTTTGAACAGCTGTACACACAGTAAATCATAACATTTTTCATTATAACACAAAAAATCTGTGTTTTGTTAGTAATAGTTCTTATTTGTAATGGGCCTCATTCACCAATAAAGTTTTTTCCTAAATTTATTCTTGGAAAATGTCCTAAAAATGTATATGTTAGATTCATGACGTGTTCTTAAACCACAGAACTGTTCGCAACTTTGTGCTCTTGAGTGTGTGTAGATTCTGTTCTTACCTAAGTGGCAGGTTCACACTACAGCTTCATAGTACTGGCGTTTGTTTACCCACAGTTCACCCATCTGAAATTAAATTAATTGAAATCTGAATCTGCTATGTATGTGAGGAGTAAGCTTGTAAGTTCTTTTTCCCCAGCACACATTTTTTAGTTGTCTTAGATTTTAGGCTATTTTAGATTCTCTATTTTAGATTTTTCAGGGAACAAACAGTTTTTAGAGACGACTAAGATTCTAATGCAGTATGATAAACTCCATAAAACGGAAAAAAGTTTCAACTTTCCATATAAAAGATTTTCTTAAAAATTCTTTTAAGGGATGTCAGAATGAATAATTACTGCACATGCACCGTGCTAGAGTGACGGAAACGTAAAAGCGTTAGAACTGGGCTTGAACTACTTTCTCTCGTGTGGACAGTAAGTGACTTAACCACTAAGCTAATCAGACAATTAGAAAACATGCATGCTCAGCTCAAAAACTACTATCCTGAAGTGCAAAACTGTAAAAAGGTTTTCAATGCGACAACTAGGCCTGGGTGATTTCTACAAATAATCAGCACGACATTTGGAGAATGTCAGAATCTTCACGAAAACTGCGTAAAGCTGCAAAATTTCTTGCTAAGAACGGCTGGTGAATGAGGCTCAATGTTCTTAATTCTTAATGTTACACATAAAACAAAGGTATGTAACTGCTCACCATGTGGCCATGAGGGACAGGGATGCAGTCTCACTTCCTGCTCTAAAATGCTGGGGTGTGGCTAAAATTAGGCTCCACCTACATTGTAAAAAGTGACTTGTCAGATCTACCAAAAAAAAATATTTCATGTGGTAACAAGTAAATTAAGTAGTTTTATTCAACCTAAATAAATACTTTGAATGAACGATTCTTTCAATCAATGTAGTTTTTTAAGTCAAATAAAACTCGTCCAATTGCTTATAACCACATGAAGTACTTGTTTTAGGTATATCTGATGAGCCACTTTTTACAGAGTATGGACTAAAACACACTGTATGTCAGTTTAAAGTTTTATTTAAAAATGAAACTCATAATGAATCTAAATCTTTCAATATCACTTAAAAAGAACTAAAAAAGGTACAAACAAATATAAGTATTATTTTCTGAAGTTGAAGTTTAGGATTTAGGGTTTGGGACAGCTGCCACCTAATAGAAAGTACCCTATAAATAATGATTTTGTGTATACGTAGCTTTTTACTGTCTAAAATAATGCCCTGGGTTTAAATAGATCCTAATATAATCCTTACGTTTATATATCTAAGGTCTAACTACTTAATTGTTTTTCTTTTTTTTTATGGGACTGCAGTTTGAACAAATTCGGTAGAATAGTCCTCAGACATTGTATTCATACAAAGTGTTAGTGAAATATCTACCCTACTGAGAAGTTTATTTTAGTTCCGTTGAACATTCTGTCTTATTTACTATTTAGTATTCCTCTCATATTCATACTCATAGCTTCCAAACACTGTATGTACTAGCAGTTGGCCTATACATGCTATGGCTACAGTTGCAGAAACATGTAGATTCAAGCTGTCTGTAATGTTTTGGCATGCATGCCTCTGCCCTGAACTTCCGGTGTGACATTGTGGCTTTTTTGCCTTCTCCAGAAGCCACGTTCTCTGTCTCATGCAGCTCTTGTGCAAGACAGTTAAGCAGTTGCAAACGTTTGTGCAAAAACCATTTAAACGGAAAGCATACCTAGCACAAGAAGCCGAAGCGACTGCCCACTGCTAAAGGAATTTCTAAAGTGGGCAAACTTTCCAGCTGCATGTCTATCACATTATACGCACCACGTTAGGACAGTGAGAGGCTCTTCAGGACCGCAATGCATTCATCATAGCTGAAAGGGCTCTGTGGTTTTAATATAGGGGAGGGGAACATAAACGAGACACAGCTTCATATATCATATATATAACCTACTGAGATTAGTTATTGTATTTTAAGTTGTTGTTGTGTTAGCACTTCTCAAAAGCAGTTCTTACCATCAGACATATGTCAGTCATTTTACATGTATCAGCTCTTGACAATATTCCTTATTGTGCATAGGTTCATTATAAAAATGTTACTTTCTTAAATGCTTCAATGAAAAAAACTGTTTTTGACTGTCTTGTGGTTTGTCTGTCTGTCATGGCTGTGTGGCAATAATAGGTCAATGAGTCAACAGGGCCACACTGTGACTGCCCACTGCTAAAGGTATTTCTAAAGTGGGCAAACTTTCCAGCTGCATGTCTATCACATTATTCGCATCACGTTAGGACAGTGAGAGGCTCTTCAGGGCCACAATGCAGTTATCATAGCTGAAAGGGCTCTGTGGTTTTAATATAGGGGAGGGGAACATAAACAAGACACAGCTTCAGCATATTACTTAGTACAATCTCAGTATGTTGTTCTTTGACCATGTGTGATGTGGGTTTGTTTAGGCGGAGATGAAGAAAAGCGGAAACGTGAGTGCATATGACAGTGATGTAGTAAAGCTAACCCACAATTATAACAATAATGTGAAATTTGAAAATGGAGTAAATGTGAATAAATGCATGCATTTAAATACATGTTTATATATATATATATATATATATATATATATATATATATGACCTACTGAGATTAGTTATTGTATTTTAAATTGTTGTTGTGTTAACACTACCCAAAAGCAGTTCTTACCATCAGACATAAGTCAGTCATTTTACATGTATCAGCTCTTGACCATATTCTTATTGTGCATAGGTTCATTATAAAAATGTTACTTTCTTAATTGCTTCAATAAAAAAAAAAAAATGTTTTTGTCTGTCTTGTGGTTTGTCTGTCTGTCATGGCTGTGTGACAATAATAGGTCAATGAGTCAACAGGGCCACACTGTGACTCAGAAGCGTGTCTGCACTCTCCTCCCACATGGGCAGACGGCTATACCTCACCCAGCTACACTTAAATGAGCCAAGGGCTCCATTATGACAGCAAGGCGATATGCTCAAATATGTTCATTGCCTGATTAAAGGCATATGTTCAACAGAGTTAGTTCTGACAACATGTATGGGTGGAATTCAATAGATATAGATATATTGGGCTCCTTCATTGCCACTGAACCAGTGGCTATACCTCAGCAGACATCAAAACTAGGACCTGACTGATATGAAAGTTTTGTGGTGGCCCTGGACATGTAAGGGGTTAATTAGGGTAATGCTGTGAGCATTAAAGTCTCTAATTATTGGCATGATGTTGGCAAAGTTTTCCCCTATACCAATAAAACTGCATGTTGTCAATATCAGCCAATGTTGTCAGCCAGTTGGTATACTGGTCAAGCTCTAGGTTAAACCTCATAACATGGATAAAGAAGAAGCCAAATTTTCCAGGGTTTCCAGGGTTAATTCAAACAGGCATTTAGTCAATAATTCATACAGCATATTCATATACAGGAAGACTCTATTACTGTATCACGTCCAACCATATAGTAGATCTGATTTGAACCATTTTAGACTTGTGAATCTTACCTCAGTTATTATGAACTGTTGTGAATTATGAGGAGCCTTGGCAAACAGCTATGATTTTACTTCATTAAAAATAGGTATATTAAGAAACAGGGAGTTTATTTTTGAGAATAAACTTACTGCAGTTTAGCCTATTATACTTAGATCATATTAACTGATACCTAGCAGACATAGCCTTAGCAGTATTTTTACACAGACTCACAGACTGACACATGCATGTAAGTAAGTGTACAATTTAGCCAAATGGTGAATAGTGCATCTACCCCTGTTGACAGCTGTCAACATTTGTAATCAATTAGGGGGAATGGTGAATCTATGATACTGGTGCATCTACCCCAATTGACATGGGCGATGCTAGGATCACTGGACATCTGGGGCTTAGGCCCGTCCCTGGTGCTGCCATACTGAACCATTCATCCATAAATCTGACACAACTTCTAAGTTAGTCAGCAAATTCTTGCAATGTACTAATGTCAAATATGGAACCTATGTGAGTTAGTTGCTAAATTAGCACATTTGACCATGATTGATATTTACTGACCACCACAAATACTGCTGACAGTCTAAAGACTCAACACTGTAAAACATAATAATTGCACTATATACATATATATATATATATATATATATATATATATATATATATATATATATATATATATATATATATATACTTATATATACTTTATATATAAATGAGTATACTTTATATACTCATTACTATACAAACCAGTCTATTTACACAAGAAAGAGTCTTTGATACAAATAAATCTAATTCAAGGGTAAGCAGAACTTGAAAAAGTAGAGCACCCCCAGCTCAATGGAAACAATTTACAGTTATTGGGCTGTGTCAGTTAACCTTACTTGCTGAAGTGTGGATCACTAAAAATTAGAAAGTATATAACCCATATATGAAGTAATTTAAGCTTGAGCCTGTTAAGTAACTTTACCTAATTTTTTCAGGGCAATATGTTTCCATGATTTTTCTAATTCAGCTAATTTAAGTCTATAGTGAATAAAGGCTGATTTAAAAATATCAAAGAATACAAAGATATATGCAGATAAAGCTCTGTATGTGCACAGAACTCACCCTTCCTCTTGTGCTTCTAACTTTGTAACATGCTATCATTCTCTTTTTTTCCTCTTTTATTTCCTGTTTGTCTCTATTTGTTTTATGTCCCTGTCTCTCTCTGCTCTCCATGTTGCTTGCCCACACTCTTGTCTTGGCAGATGTGTTCATGAATCCTGGAATCAACACTTACTTACCATTTATATTAACACTGATGAGGAAACTATTATCTCAGATAATGTAAGGTAACTCAATTTATATGGCCTTAATTGTGCCATGAACATTTTATGGCAGGTCACATGCTGCCATAATAATAATATAACAGTGATATGTTACCATTACTAGTAATTGTCATGACAGGTGCCATTATGTTGGATATCATGACAGCTTACATCACAGGCTATTTGTTTGCTATTTGTTTACATTTTCATTACAATTCAATGTAATGGTAACATGGCACTGTTACATTACAGGACCAAAGCTGTCATATAAGTTTTGACCGTGTATGACATGTGCCATGGCATGTTTATGACACGGTTATGTCAATGTTAGCAGGGTTCCAGTAGTGTGACTGTCCTATGGGATTCCTATATTTTACTATAGGCAACTACACAAGTATATTTAATAAATTAAAGAGGTTACAATGGGAATATTATATGAAGGGGAGTGTATTATAGATTATTACAGAAAAATCATATAGCATATCTGATTAACTAATTAGCTAATTACTAACTTTACATTATTTAGCAACAGCTTTATTACTACAAATCATTCTAAAGTTACACTAAAACATCATTTTGCTCTGGGGCTGACTTTTTTCTATCTTATTCAAATAACTAGTTTTGTCCATGATGTCAGTTCACTGTACTACAACTAGGCTACTAGCTTGTGCACTGTACTGCAGGGGCAGGAACATGAAGCAGTAGGGTGTAAACCAGTGGTCACCAGCCCTGCTCCTGGAGGTCTACACTGTCAGAAAAAAGGCCCTGTACAGGTACATTTTTTGTTCTTTAAGGTACAAACAATGGTTTTAAGGTCCAACTGTGTACCTTGTTGTTTTCTCCCAGGGGAAAGTACATATATGTATCTTTTCATAACCTACGGTTTTAAAATAGCACAATAAAATCAAAGGCCTGCTGACAAGACGGGTCGTGTGGAGTCAGTACAACTTTAAAAATATAATTGCAATGAAATATGGAATAATTATGTTTCCTAACTAAAGGTAATGAATACATACTCTTGAGGGTACCACCACAGTGACAGATGGCTTCCACCACAGTGACAGAGGGCTTCCACCGCAGTGACAGTTTAGTACCTTTTTTCTAAGAGTGGTTTTATCAGCAGATTTTAGCTCCAATCCTAATTGTCCCCTACATGATCTAATTATTGTCTTCAGAAGTCCTTGACTAGCTAAATGAGATGTGTAAGATTTAAGCTGAAAGTAAAACCTGAAGGAAGTTTGATCTCTAGGAAGAGGGTTGGTGACATTTGCTGCAAAGCTGTTAAGTGTGGTAAGTGAGAAGTAGCTCTGAACGACATCGATGAGTAAAAAGATCATATAACACGCTGATGAACCAAGGATGAAAAAAAGATTTGAGGCTTTACTGGAAGAATTGTTTTTAGCTTATTTGCTTCATCTTGTGTGTTAAAACAGCACAATAAACTCACTTTTTCTTAGAACATGACTAAGACTTCTTTAAACACATTTAACAAATATATACATATATATATATATATATATATATATATATATATATATATATATATGTATCTTTTTGTTAAATGTATTTTAAGAAGTCTCAGTCATTTACACAAAGCTGTCACTGCATAATTTGTGGTGAGAAAATACATTCTCACACTCAGCCAAAATCAAACAACTTGGCTGCCTCCTACTGACACCCTTGCTCAGTGTTGTCATGGCAGTCTTCCACATAAATGGATCTGAATTGTGATTTTTGTTCCATTTTTTATGATAAAAAATACTAAAAGATGAACATACACAAATTTGGCGCAATATTTGTGAATGCCTTTAAAATTCCACTACAGGCCTCAATTTTCACCACTTTTTAGCATTATTCACCCAATGGCTCCATTTGCCTCATTATAGACAGTCCACCTCCAGTCCTGGGCAACTCCAGTCCTGCCCTGTACAGTTGCAACTATTTCTCATGCCATCACACCAGATCTAACTAATCAGATAATTATCAAGCCCTTTATGATCTACATCAGGTGTTCTGGAAAATAGTATACATGAAACTATGCAGGGTTTTGTGCAGAACACCCTTTAATTTCCAGTTAAAACGGACATTAAATACAAGTTACTCATTTTTCAGCATCAGGAAAAACAGCAGAAAACATATATTTAACAAGAAAATTGCACAGAAGCAATGTCAGCTTCTATTCTTTTCGGGAGACTTACTTTCAGTTTTTCAAAGAAATCTGCAGGGATATTTTTCCACACCTCCAAAGTTCAGTCTTAGAAGTTAGTTGCATTTTATGCTTCTATCGATTCAAGTAAACACAGTGATGTTGAAGTCTGGATGCTGGGGTGGCCAGTCCATTGTCCTGAGAACACAAACAGCTTCTTTGTTCCTTCTGTTGCTTTGAAAAATCTCAAATTTAGACCTATCAGCCCACAACCCCCCCAGAAGTCCAGTATTGGTGTTCTAGTGTAAACTTTCTTATGTCTATTTCCTTTTTTCAGTTTCAGCTTCCTGACGGCTACCCATCCTTTCAGACTCATACATTAAATTGTCGTCTCACAGTGAAAGGATGGACAGAAACAACTGCAGATTTTTTTAGATCTAAAGCAAGAGTAGAGCTTGATTTTAAATGATGATATACCATAACCTTGAAAACCCATGGCCCACTATTTTGCAACATTTTCCACCAAATCCACCTCAAGACTAAACATGTATAAACATCATATTTCTTTTGATCAGTAATTTTGTAAATACAGTTTGAAAGAGGAAAAAAATGAAAATGCATCATATATGAACAAATAATAATCATATGGAAGCAGATCTGAGATGACAACAAAGAACACTGCACATGAACTTTTCGTGTTCACGTTTATATAAGAACAGCCCTGGGTGGCGGGCACTGATAAAGACTGCTATCCCTATATTTGTGTGAGGAACACACACATACATACACAGAGCTCAGATGTTTCCTACTGTCTGACTGCATCTGTTTCCTCAGCTATATCTGAACAATGAGTAGCCAGGGGCTGTTTCTGGAAACTCCAGCTGAGGAAACTCATGCACTCCCTTCTGAAAAACTTCACTTTGAAATCCCCCTTCATGACAGTATGTATGTGCCTGTGTGCTACAAGGGGATATTGGCTATTACAACTAGACGGGCTCTCACTATGTCCACATCCACAATACCTCTACTGTACTCATATATAATCTTCCATAAACCATGTTTACATGCAGTTCATTTTAAATGCTTTAAATCCTTGCAATCATGTAAAAAGTGTATTTCACATTTAAAGTTAAAATGAGGGTCTGAGTGAAACATAGTGATCTTTTTTTTTGTTTTTTTTTACATTTTTCAGACTAGCCTGCACTCTTCACACTGGGAGATGAAGTGCTATCAGAGGTGGACAGCTACAACAAGTACATTTACTCAGTTACATTTGATGAATTTGTGCATTCCTGGCTATTTTTATGTTATACTATTAAAGCATATTAGTGAGGAGAGTCTACTTTTTCACTCATTAAAGGGCTCATTTCCTATATTTGTTTGTATTTTATTTTTTCCTTGAGGTCTGCTTATAGTATTTGAATGTTTTATGTACCAAAAGCAGCTGTAATTAATTTTTACATTACCTTTTTTCAGTCTCTCTTTGTCCCTTAAAACAGACTGTTTTTGGTACTGGGCCTTTAAGACTGACATGCAAACAAGCTCTGTTCTGACTGGCTGCCCTGTATTGTGCCTCATTCAAAAAGCAATGCAGTCTAAAACTCCTTATAACTTCAGCATAAAAGGGAGGAGTTAAACTGCTGTAGGCAGATGTATGTAAAAGGGGCTGTTTTCTGTGACATCACAAAAACAGTGAATCCAAAAATGGACTGTTTTTGCAGCTTAGTTTTCACTTCAAACTCTACTATTTAAAAAAGTGAGGGAAATTTGTTTTCCAACATATGGGCCCTTTAATATTTAGTAACTCATTGTTTTTTACATTTTTGATTTGGTTTTTAGCCTCTTCAACTCCTTGAGACCACCAGTGGTTCCAAAACACACTTTGTCATATTCTTCATAACTTTCATGTTTTATTCATTCAAAAGGTGGGTGTCATATGAAAGCTGTAACTGTCTTCTTTCCAGTCAAATAGATGGGTAATGTAATTTTAAACCCTTATAATAAATGAAGCTGAACTCACAATTTTTTGTCTACTGAAAGTTGACCCATTTTTCCACAAATCTGGGCTAGAAACTATAAACAGATGGTGTCTCTTCAGTGATCAGCTCTGTGAAAATTATTTTTATAAAATAATACAAAGAGCATCTAAGATTTTTGGCTTTCAGCAGTAAATTGTAAGCATATAGCAATACGTGTATGATCATAAGACACATTTTCTGTTAATTTGCGGGGAGCTTTTACAAATAAATAAATAAAATAAATAATAAATTTACATTTATTTCATGCAGTTACTGAATAATTTGCCTTACGATTTGGTCATCTAAATTCAGATGGAAAAGCCAAAACCCCTGGTCAATATGAGGTTAATAAAGAAATCTAATTGTAATGGAATGTCACAGAAAAACAGTTTGGGTTCTATCAGACTTCCATCAATGTGAAACTAAACATGCAAACTCCAGACACCAAACTAGGCTGATTAACTATTTTAGAACAAGGTCAATGTTGTGTCATTTTGATTTTAAGGTTTGATTTAGTTGGTGACTGCATTTGTACAGCTTTACGACTGGTCACACCTCTGACTTTTGGGGCTTATCATTAATTTTTTTTAGATCAAAATTACATCAAAGAAAGAAAGAACAGCACCTAACAGACTTCTGTCCCTATGCCCATGCTGGAAGTACCATGAAGTTCTGTAAGTTAACTTACTCCGTACGTACTTATTGATGCTTTTGTATTTTTACTCAAGCTGTTTGTTGGAAAGATACTTTTACTTGAGTGGTTATTTCACTGAAAAAACAGTACGTATACTTTATGTACCAAATCCCTGTCAAATTCAGTAACGTTTATTTATGCCATTTTGGCCACGTATGCTTACAAGTGCCAGCTGCTGTTTTGGCTGAAGTTGCCTCCACGGTGAACTCAGGCACTTCTACACGCCGCTGCGCTGTTTTACTGACATTAGCCAAGCCTTCTCTTCAGCCCCAGCGTGTCTGCGCCATTGCCCTTTTAAGGACGCTAGTGGGAAGCAGGAGAATGACGTTTGCAGCAGCGAGCCAGGAGCTGCTCTCAGCGCCAGTGGAGCGGCGGGGAGGACGAGACACGGTGAGTAACACAGCCAACTTCACCACCTCACTCTCAGCAGTCAAACCAGGTCATACGTATGACCCTGGCTCCGGACAGACATTTACAGTCGAGTACGAATCTAAATTGGAAGGTCTCGGGGGAATACGGGCTGCATTAAAACTCAAAGCCAGTCGAATTACACTGAAGCGCAGGCCGGCGGAAGGGAGCTGGTTAGCTAGCTAACTTAGCAGACTCTGCTAGTCCCGCATTCAGACACCGCAATGTTTGGCTAGCTAAACTAGCTTTAGCTTAAGCTAAAAGAGCCGCCGATGTACACCATACATTTCAAAGCTGGAATATGGCGGCGTCCGATTAGAAACTGCTAACGTTAGTTACATATTTTACAATTTTCTTGTGGCCTTCATTTGAAAAGTGTCCCCTTTGTGCTCTAAACTGTCACACAACCGTTTATTAGGGCATAAAATGTAACCGGAAGGTACCTAAAACTTGAGTTTGTTAGCTAGGTGTGTCGCTATCTGGCTAGGCTAAGCTAACTAGCTAGCTAAGTTAGCAGTGAGTTGGGAAGCTGGCTGTTCATATTGAGTTGGGTGTTAGCTAAAGCTGTCTGGTCGGGGGCGAGTTAGCAAATGTTTGTATAGAGCCAACTGGCTAACTTGCAAGATTAGCGTCTTAGATTTAAACCTGAGCTGTTACAGCGGTCATTGGCTGTCACTTCTCAGAAACAATCTGCCTAAGCTAGCTAGCTATTTACGAAGGCTTAATTTGGGGGTTCATCGACGAGGCAACCTGTGACTGTTAGCTACAGTAACCTAACAGTTTTGTTACGCCTGTGTCTGACAGTTAACGTTGACCCAGTTAGTTAGGTTAATATACTTGTCCCTGCTTTAGTGCTTTTATTTATGCTGTGTGTATTCTGTAGACGGCTAACGGTGGCTCTCAGAACAGGGTTTTTTGTAGGGAGGGATCATTAATCCCAGCAGTGACAACCTGAATGCCTAACTGTTAGTTAGTTCATTGAAAATAGCTAACTACGGTACCTATGTAGCTATATGCCAGTTTTTCTTCATACTATCATATATACGTAGTATATTCTTGCTTTCTTTAATGGCCTTCTGTGCCCTTTTTTCTGTCTAAACACTAAAGTCCTAGACAGTGTCTAGCTAATTAAACCAGTGCCATTGGTTGGTTGTTAATGTTCAGGCCGATGCTGGTTTTGTAACTGGGCTGTATTTCTGCAACACATTTCAAAATGCACTAGCTGTGGAAGAACAGCACCAATGTTTTGACTTGTGACAATTTTTTGCATTCCAGTAGATGGAACTAATGTTTTAGCCAGAGCTATCATCAGTTTTCTGTAGTGCTGCATAGAGCACAGACCTGGAGTGTCCTATTAAGAAGCTTGTCATTAGCGATGTTGAAGGTTAGTCAGAGGAGGTTTTGGCCCTTCATTTAGAGAAAAGGTGCCATCTTCTTTCCAAGTATGTTCATGCTTCGTTATACAGCAGTTCTGTCCACGTTTTGAAGCGACCCGGATTCGTCCTTTACTGGTAAACTTCGTATGTTGCCTACTAGGAATAATCAGTGCACACAGCATCAACATCCTTCACAGTTTCAACCTGAGTCAACAAAAGCCTTGGCACTGATCAGAAGAATTTCCTTTTGATTTAATATCTCCAGTGAGTTTAGGAGGCTGTTTACATCTTGCATAAACATATGTTTCATGTCCAGATTGTATCTGGATAAACTTTGGCTGGATTCCATTTACAGTTTTCACTGAAATGCGTCCCCACTGTGACTAGATGAGATCTGATTTAAGCACATCTGATGCATACATCATCTCTGTTTTGCTGTTGTTTACTTTTCCCCTGTTACCATAAGACTCAACAAGCATTTGTTGAATGCCTTCAGCTGCCAAAGAGAGCAAAGAAGGCACTTGATTTTGGGATAACTCTCAGCCTTGCCTATCGTCTGTCTTGCATTTCCTTGTTTGTCGTTTCACCTGCTAGTCAGGACTCAAGACACATTTCCAGTGGGGTAATTCTGTGCCAACATAGAAAATCCATTCCATTTACACTTTTGTTGAATCTAGTCAAGATCCGTTTCTGACCACTTCTAAATGTGGTCTGAATGATCTGATCACTTTGTCTGATTACATCTGGCTTTTCATGTGGTCACATAAGACCTAAACATGATCTGATCACCAAAAACGCATGTTGATAAAAGGTGTAAACAGCCTCTAATATTTACCCAGAAATGTAGACTGTTTCCTTGTTCTGTGCGTTGAATAGATTTAGGATTTGGAAAGTAAAACAGCCTTTAAGCATTTTGCTTACATTATTGTGACTAAGGACAGTTATCGAAATTCAGTACTTTTATGGGACTGACTGAATTACTTCAATACTACCAAGTATCAAGAATCCATGTCATTCAGTACCAAATTGCATTATTTAAATAGTTGGCATTATGAACATCCTTGAATCAATAAGTGTGGTTGTTTCAGAATCTTGACTGTTGATTGGTTGTTCAGTCACAATCTGGTAGAAAAGTTATGAACATCAGCACTTCTTGATTCGACCACAGTCTGCTGTGGTCAGTAAATATATCTGTTTCCTGAAAATCACATTTTCTGGTGAAAGCCATGAATCACTTTCAGTTTGTAATTTATTAGACAGTATAAAAAAATCTTCTGGAAATCAGTATAAAAGTCTGTGTATCTGTATCAAAAAGTATTTTGAGCAGTACCCAGCCTTAGTTGTGACATGTTTAACACACAAGCAAAAGTTAGCTTAGGCCAGAGGTCCTGCTTTATATTATGCCCTTTTGGTAACTGAGTGTTGTTGTTATAAGCAACTATAGTCCTGGGATAAATCATGCTGTCATAATGGCGAGTCGTTATGGGTTGCTTTAATAAACATTGATTCAAGCCCAGACTTTGATGAAATGGCAGTGCCAAAGGTGATTCATCACCTATTCCTATTTCCTTTTTTGCATATGGTTAATCTAAAATTAGCCCTAGACCTTTCAGCTCTAGACTAAGTTTAATATGAAAACTTCAGATCAACTGTGTTGTTAGTCATGGTGATGTTTGCTTGTGGTGCTGAATGTGTATTGAGTGGACAGTATCTGCATGCTAGAGTATGAAAACCTGGAACTCACTCTCAGCTCTTAGCAACCACTCACAGTGGCATTCCATACTGTTTACTGGTTACACAAGCAGCAGAGCAGATGATCCTGACAGACGGCCTCTCTCTCATTCACAAATTCCCCTTCACTCTTGTCCCTCATACTAGGCTAGCTGTCCAGTCCTGTCACTCATTGCATGTTTATGACATCATGTAATTGGGTTTAATAATAATAATAATATAGTATTTCTAGTAGTGGTACTGTGAGGTAGAACATCAGATTGCTTTCAGAATAGGTTGTGAGTTTTCCAACTTGGTTATCAGTAATTCCAGTTTCATTTTATGCAATCTTATGTGTGTATTTGCTGAGTAAGTGGTGTTTTAAGCTTGAAGATTGGATGTGAAAAGCTGCTGTTGTCTTTGAAGCCCTTTTTAAAGAAATCAATACAATATTTGAGTACAGTATTTATTATTGTTGTTTATCGTTGTTGTGAAGAAATACATAACGTCACAATATGATTTTTTTTTTTTAAATATGATTTTTTTTCTGTAAACACTTGAAACTGATCATAATTTTTAAATAATTTATTTGTCTAATCCTGTTGATGGGATTTAGTGCAGCACAGTATACAAAATATTGGGTATAGATAATTGGATTAATAGTTTTGGATAGTATATTTCAAATGTGGCACTGATTTGTCGGTTCTAAAATATCAGATAGCAGAAAATATAAATATTGTGATGCATCATGTATCGTAAAACCTTGCTGAAGCATCATGATATTACATTTTGCCATATCACCCACCTCTAGCGTTTATGACGCTAAAGTGTAGGCCACAAAGTCTCATGGTTGCCAGAGTGGTCTAATCTACTTTATCAACCTACCTGCCAATAACTGATCATAAACTGTCAGACTATGACCTCTGAATATTTCCCTGATGATGCGTTTTCATGTTCTGTGGAGCTATTATTTTACCATTACTTTGGATGCCGTACTGGTTCAGTGACCTGAAAAATAGACCATATGAAAAAGAATTAACAAAAGCCCTATGCGGATGCAGTTAGTTTAATACGAGGAGGTAGGGGTAATGTAATTTTTATCTACATTTCTCAGTGATTTTAGTCCCATCCAAATGCACCGTCAGTTATTTTTACAGACTGCATGCTCCCGCGTCAGTGAAAATTCCAACACCATTATTACTATTATTATATTAAATTATTATTATTATATTATACCGTTCAAATCGACATGTTGATAAAAACGTGATCCTGTGGAAAATGAGTTTCTTAAGTATGGAGGCTTTTGAAAAGCATTTACTCAGTGGCTAAAAATCAAGCTAACATGTACTGTCTTACCTCACGTACCACTCAGAATATTAAAATATGTATAAAATAAATAAATAAATATTTATGCAGTGATGTTGACTGTTGGCTGTAAATTCCTAGCTAATGTAAATACTCATGATGCATTGCATTTACTTAAGACAGCAAGACAGATGCTTAGGGTAAACGAAACAGCAGCTGAATTAAATGTTTTAAAGAGTTTTCTACTTGTTTCTGGAGTAAAGGCAGCGCATAAATCGAATATCCACTCTAACCGTTCTCTGCCATTTGTACCAAGATTTCCTACCCTGTGCAAATTGGTCACAAAATTTGCAGATGTCCAGTAGTAAAATTACATTACCCCACCTCCCAATGTAAAACTAATCCTGTCCAAATAGTACTAAAGAATCTGCTGCTTATCCAGGCAGTGGTGATTTTCGAAATACTTAAACATTCAGCACGGATATATTAGTATTTTTGCTACATAGTGTGTCATAAGTCTCACAGGGCTAGACAAGATCTCCTAACAATAACATCTGGGGACAGTCATGAGAAATGTTGGGCTAAATGTGG